ATCCCAGCATGCTACAGGCCCAATATCAGTACCCTGGGCCATTTGGTTATTGAGAAGAAGTTGTTTGAAGATTTTAAAGACATCTGACACCAGTGACCTTGAAAGTGGGTCAAGGTCATTCATTTGGAAAACTTGGTAGCCCTTGATCCCAGCATGCTACAGGCCACATATCATCTTCCTAGGCCTTTTGGTTATTGAGAAGAAGTTGTTTAAAGCAAAAAGTTGACGGACGGACGGACGGAAGGACGACGGATGCCGCACCATAACATAAGCTCACTTGCCCTTCGGGCAGGTGAGCTAAAAATGAATGCGGCAGAAAGGGGGAACCTTGTCTCGGGCCACGGAGATTCTGAAACTATATCGTAAGTTGCTTCCCTTTCACCGTGTATGTATATCTCTCATGAGTTGACAAGGAGACTGTTTAGTGATAAGTATAGCCCGTTTGGAAGCTAATACATTTTTAGCTCACCTGGCCCGTCCGTTGTCAACTTTTAAGTTTAAACATCTTCTTCTCAGTAACCAAAAGGGCTAGGGTAATGATATTGGGCCAGAAGCATGCTGGGATGAAGGGCTACCAAGTTTGTTCAAATAAATGGCCTTGATTTATATTCAAGGCAGTTGGGTTCAAATATGTTGAAAATCTTTAAACGACTTCTTCAAAATAACTGAGAGGCCTAGGGCGATGATATATGGCCAGTAACATGCTTGGATGAAGGGCTACCAAGTTTGTTCAAATAAATGACCTTGATTTATATTCAAGGTCGCTGGGTTCAAATATGTTGAAAATCTTTAAACGACTTCTCCTGAATAACTGAGAGGCCTAGGGTGATGATATATGGCCAGTAACATGCTGGGATGACGGGCTACCAAGGTTGAGCAAATAAATGACCTTGATTTATATTCAAGGCCACTGGAGTCAAATATGTTTAAAACCTTTAAACGACTTCTTCTGAATAACCAAGAGGCCTAGGGTGATGATATTTGACCAGTAATATGCTGGGACGAAGGGCTACCAAGTTTGTTCAAATAAATGACCTTGATTTATATCCTAGGTCACTTGGGTCAAATATGATTAAAACCTTTAAACAACTTCTTCAAAATAACTGAGAGGCCTAGGGTGATGATATTTGACCAGTAATATGCTGGGACGAAGGGCTACCAAGTTTGTTCAAATAAATGACCTTGATTTATACTCAAGGTCACTGGAGTCAAATATGTATAAAAACTTTAAACGACTTCTACTGAATAACTGAGAGGCCTAGGGTGATGATATATGGCCAGTAACATGCTGGGATGAAGGGCTACCAATTTTGTTCAAATAAATGACCTTGATTTATATTCAAGGTCACTGGAGTCAAATATGTTTAAAACCTTTAAACAACTTCTTCTGAAGAACCGAGAGGCATAGGTTGATGATATTTGGCCAGTAACATGCTAGGATGAAGGGCTACCAAGATTGTTCAAATAGATTAACTTGATTTATATTCAAGGTCGCTGGGGTCAAATATGTTGAAAATCTTTAAACGACTTCTGAATAACTGAGAGGCCTAGGGTGATGATATATGGCCAGTAACATGCTGGGATGAAGGGCTACCAAGTTTGTTCAAATAAATGACCTTGATTTATATTCAAGGTCACAGGGGTCAGATATGTTTAGAACCTTTAAACGACTTCTTCTGAATAACCGAGAGGCTGGGATGAAGGGCTACCAATTTTGTTCAAATGAATGACCTTTGCCCATTTTTTCTGAATTACTTTAAACTTTAAGTCAAGACGCTGATATTTTTAGTCCTCTTTTAAGGTTACAATTGTGAGATTAATACCAGGTGAGCGATGCAGGCCCATTTGGCCTCTTGTTGTATGTAATATAACATAACTATTGCCTCTTCAATTCTATTACACTGTTTGCTTAAACATGATTTCAAAACTAACCTGGATTACTCGTTGCCTCGGTGAGGAATGTGTGTGTGGTGACGTTATCATGTATCCATTGACAATTTGGGTCACCGAGTTCTTCACCGCTCGTTCTGTTGTCCATGTCGGGGTCAAGGTCACAGATAACCGTCCAGTCCAAGGAGAAGTTCTAGATGACCATGAGTACAAATCAATCAAAATTCATTCAGATTAATATTTGTTCGCAGAGACATTGATCTGACAATTCAAAACAATGAATTATTTATTATTCATTAATTGAAATAATATTTTGAAATTATGAAAAAATAAACTTTATTATCGGGGGCGGGAGAAGCTTCAAAATGACGCCAATCCAATTGCTTTCATAGCCCTATGGACGCAATTTCTTATGGTAAAGCTTAGAGAGTAACTTACAGTGGAAATGTAAATATGTCATATTCTCCATAATCAACGTAGTTAAATTATCACTGTATTCGGAAATTATCACTCTCATCTAAATACCGCAAAACGATATTTCAAAAATTTTATTTTTAAAAAATTCGCTCATGATTTACTTTTTCGGGTGTTCACGTCATGTTTTATTCATCTCGTTTCAATGTTGGTAATTGAGAAGATACTCTTTATATGCATTAAAAAAATCTTTAAATTAAAAAGACCAGATCCTTAGAAACTTTTAAGGGAAAATATGCAGATAGATATGCGGCGGACATTTTTTTTATGAATCCTGCTAATTGTGATTTGAATGAACTACGTTATAGCTAAATCCTCAGGGGCCTTGCATGCTTATAAATAAAAAGGATATGCTCACGCGGTAAAAAATGAGATAGGCGAACGAGGAAACATTTACAAAAATATCCAATATAAGACGTTAGACTTCATTCACTTCATACATAACATTCTAGTGTCCATATTTAACATCTTATAAAGTTTTTTTTATTCTTGTTATTTATTTTAGCCATTTAAAAACCATCTTCTTAATAAATGTTGCAATTAGATGAAGTGTTCATTTTGTTTGCGTGCCAATGAAATACACACAATATATATGCAATAATTTGTAATAGTTGGACGATAGATGTACGGACGGACGGACATCACATTACGGACAGTAACATGTACACATGACTACAAATACCTGTCCAAAGGGATTCCTCTCGAAGAAATTCGGCCAATGTCCAATCCTGAGGAATTTTTCATTAGGTCCGGCCCCGGGACACGTGTAAGGCACGTTCCTACTGTTTGGGACGTAGGGGTAATAGTGTGGATAAGACACAGCAATAGCCACAATAACACACCAAATACAAATCTTAGGTAGGGTTGCCATTTCACGCAAAATAAACCACGTCTCTCGTTAGATCGGAAGATACTACGTATTTGCTGAAAACCGCTATTATATGATGATCAATTATGATAATGGGACTGAATACTTGGAAATTTTCTTTGATGCATCGTTGCATGTCTCGATTGTTTTGTAAGTATGCTCAGCTCAATGACATTACAAAATCATATCGTTATTTTTTTAAAGACTTTTTACAATCCTTGCCTTAAGATTATCATTTTTAATTGTTTTATTTCAGATTAAAATTTTAAATTTTACAGAATTTTCGAAAATAAACTTATTAAAATGCTTGCTTGTAGTTTTCGTAAAGCTGTACAAATAATATGTCTTAACCTAAAATATTCATGTATACATACAGCACAGTAATTGTTTCAAATTATGTTTCATCACTAGAATATTAAGTTCACTTTGACGTACATATTTTGAAGAATAAAAAACCAACAACAATGAAATCAATCGTTCATTTCTGCAAGTTCTTACATTTTTAAATGGGTCTCGTGCAGTTATTCTAATTTCACCAATAAATTACTTGGAAGAGAAACAACTGCAAACAATATACTCCAAACATCTTAAAAAATATTCATCAGTTTGGATATATTTGAATTTCACGAGAGAGTAAATTTTGCGTTAGGAGACTTATTCGCTGGGGCGTTGGGGATTTTGCACGGTATTAACCTTAAAATACGAAAACGTCCAATAAATAACTTTTCCCTTCACAACAAGAAAGGTATCAGAATACAAACTTGTTTCGATTCTCAAACCCCATAGATCTGCTGTATCCGTCGCACTTTGTTAAAATTGTGTTGTTTTTGTTTTGTAAAACTGAACATCTTTCAGGTTACCCTAACCCAGGTGTTCTAGACTTGTTCATCACTTTATCAAACTCAGTGATACATTTTAATTATGATAAATTACTTACATGTATGGACCTAGCGGTACATTTGTAGTATAATATTAAGACCCGTTCACCTAAGGTCGAGATATTCGCCGGAGGGCGATTGTGTATTGTACGTAAGATTTTTTTTTTAAATCACAAATTCATTCTGAGTCATTGTCATGCCTTCTGTAAAACGAATCAACAAATAAGTGTGATACATTTCAACAACTACAAAAGTATATTTTGGATTTAGTTGAGCGGCCTTTTGATTGATGATGTAATATGTTATTGTGCGGATCGTTTGGTTTGGTTTAGTATTGTTTAACGTCCTATCAACAGCTATGGTCATATTTAAGGACGGCGTAACAGAGTTTTGGGATGGGCGGTAAATCTAAGAAATATTGATGACCGCCCATCCAATCTAATCAAAATTGGACTTGTAATATCGCAACACTACCGATGCACTCCAAATATGTCGATATAGTAAAGGGCGATAACTCGCAAATATTTAAGAGAAGCTACTGTCACGTGATCACGGTGAGTTAAAGTAATCAGGAATAACGTTACAAAAAGGAGATAATAATAATTAATGCATCAATTTTCAAGGTCATAATCTAAATATCATTGAATGGTGGGAGGGTGGTTGAGTAAAATCATAATAATGCGTAATTCTTTCGTAATATTTTGGCAATTTTTGGAATGAGTATTATAAGACGTTATAAAGGTTTTGATCTACGACCATAACAAACCCAACTGTTTGCCCAGGTGAGGAAGGCAATGGGTTCTGTTCCCAGGCCGGGACAAACCAAAGTTCTTATATATGGTAGTTGTTATTTCCTGCTTAACACTCAATATTTAGGGAAATGGCAACAACTGGTTCAGTATAATATGACCGGATGGACTACTTTGCTGGGTGCCTTGCCTTCTGCATGGTATTTCAGTGATGTACATGTAGCAATCTTCAGTCGGCATCAGATCCGCGCTATCACAGGGAGGTATATACCCCCACACACCCTAAATGACTAAAGCTGTTTTACATGTATAAAACCAAACCAAATTTAATGATGCAGCCCCTTGCATTTGAAACGCAGATATTTGTTTTATCGTTTGTCACTGTTTTCTGGTCCGTTTACTACTATGTCCTGTTAGGTTAAGATCACTTAAACATTCAACACTCTACCACTTCACTGTACTGGATGCCAAAGAAAATACAACAAAGTTTTCGCACGTTAAATCTGCAACTTAATGTTAAGAACCATTGGTTTTTAAGTCAATTGTTCTTTACATGCAATATCATTGTAATATATTCTATCATTTCTTTGCCATTGGTGGTTTTGTTATACTTATTCCCTTTCGCCTTTGAATTTTGATATTCACCTTTCACCAATAAAATATTTGTTTTGATTTAAGAACCTAATTTTAATTCCGCCAATTGAGAGAGAAATATATACACAAGCACCGGTAAACGTCGTTGTGAGAATTTTGGCCCCCTCTCCCCCTCCCCCTCTTCCCCCTTGGACGGAAAATAGAGCGAGTGTCAGATTTCGTGGTGAATACTGATAGTTGAATACAATGAATACAAGATAGTAAAAGACACTGTGCGTTGATTCATGTTTTATTAATTATTATATACAGTGATATATATGCCGAGTCAAATATCTATTTACAGCTCATTATTCAACCTGCTGCACGTACAATTCCACACATGATTTCGGAAACTGCTCACTAGCTGACTCATTTGCTAGATGACTCACTCACTCGCTGACAGACTGACTCACACACTCACTCGCTGACAGACTGACTCACACACTCACTAACATACTCACTCAATTATGTTTTTGTATGAGACAATTGGATTACCTCCCCTTGTCAACCCTGGGTAGTGAATGATATTACACATACACCGCTATAAATAAATAAATACACATTAATATATATAAATGTATCTAAATATACAAATATTACTTAATAAAAAAAATGTGTATGTTGCTTATAGATATACTTTCTGTGACTACAATATCAATGGCATACAGTTTTGGTAGCGCTGTATGCTTTTTTTTTTTACTATTTCTACTGATCCTATGATAAATGCATCGTTATGTTAAGGGACGTCATGTTGTGTTATGTGACGTCATATATTCAGACGCCGATCAATAGAAAAAACCTTATCCTGTCATTTTCGCCTTGAAATAATAATGTAACTTATAGTAAAGTAAAAATTTATAATAAATAGAATATCGAATACAAAGAATACGTCAATGCGTTAATTCTTTTTCATGCATACACCATTCATACTTAAAAATCAAACACATACAGCCATACGCACAATATGTATGTTTCATGCTGTTTGAGCAAATTTGAAAAAAAAGACAGATTGGTAAAATAATTACATATTATGAAAAAAAATGTTGATATCGAAAAGGATAATTTAGTTAAGGCTCTATGGTACCTTGCAAAGATATCAATCTCCTTTTTCAAAAGAACTCTAAACCAAGTAAATATGTTTAATGATCGTAATTTCGACTTCGGAAATAAAATGCCACACAGGAATATACATTGGCAACAACCAAATAATTTTTAATTATAAAAAAAACCCGATAGAATGGTTCATATTCCGTAATTGATTTACTCTCCGCTAGGTTTCGCTTCGAAAATAGTATCAAATAATGCAAAATGGTACAAAGGCAGAAAACCGATTATAATGTTAAATATGGGAAGTAACTCTACCACAAAAAACATTCATAGATAATGTAAAATATAGAGAGACAAAAAGATGGTAACATGAACCCAACATAATGTCTGGTTTGGCTAAAAAATATAATAAATAAGACACGCAATCAATCACAGGAAACATTCATGAACGGAGCAATAATTCTTTTGCAGTCAAACTATCAACATTTTCTCAATTTTGACTGGAATTCCTTTATTTGGAACTGTAGAACTTCCGTGAAGGTTCACTAAGGATATCCATACAGTGCATGTTTGGGTTAATCCAACATGGCCGCGTCATATATGCTTGAATGATGGTAAGTACCACACAAGTTCTCTGGCGATATTTTATGCTGTTGATTTTATATTCAGTCGTTGTACTATTGGTTCATTGGTTCATTGCAGGTGACACCGTTGTAAGCGTTTAGTCGCTTCTCAAGGTGCTTCTTAATACTGTCCTCTTCACTTCCGGTTGCATTTGGAGGCATTTGAAGAGGACTTTATTTCTCAAAAACTAGTGAAAATTATGTACATGTGCAGTGGGTGGTAACAAAAATTGCATCCTGATTTATATAAAATAGGGGTTTTCAGTTATAAAATAGGACCAACAGGCCTGTATAGATCACAAGTCTCAAAAAAATAATTAGAGAGTTGTTTCACTATTTAGTATGGATACACACATTGTACAATGATTGGCGAAATAAACTAGAGTTAAATAAGTAAATTTCACACAAATAGTTATAATTTAGCAACGTTACAGATGCTGATTTGAATTTCGGAAGCACAAATTTAGATTTTGTTGATAAAACGGTTTGGATATACACGTATTGTTTAATTTTGCTCTTCTCTTGTTGTGGTCATACAAACCTTGCAATCGGAAACCTTCGGCAATTTCCGTAAACGAGAAAATACTCGTTTACGGAAAGTGTCGACGGTTCCCGATTGAATACCGTGATGATAACAAAATGAAAATTGATGATTCCAAAAGAGACTTCGCTACCAATTGATCCTTAGTACAGACATTATGGACGGACCAAAACAGTTTGTCTACCGTCGTAATTATACACTACCAGTACACTACCAGTACATGGCAGGTCCAAGTTCTTGTTGTTCGATTTTGTCTTTAATACATGCATGCTTTAATTAACCCTGAAACGATCCGAGCAGTTTTGTTTTTGTTCCTTGGTTATTTTCAATACTTTATTATTAACCCCGCTATTTTTTGAAGTAGTTCAATTTTCACTGCTAGGTGTCATATTTGTTTTCTCCACCAGATGGCGCGTAATTTCTTTCTTCGTCAGGTGTTGTTCCTGCTTTCTCTACTAGACCGTGTGATTGAATTCTCTGCTAGATGTCGTTGCTTCTTTCTCTCTTAGGGTGTCACAAATGTTTTGTCTTTAGTTGTTGTTGTTATTATTTCACCTCTTTGTGATGGTGTTATTTTTT